GGAAAATATGTGCAGATCTTCCCAAATGACAACTCTTCCACCGTAAAATCCAGAGTTCCAATTTATATGTTTTATCATTTAATTTCCACTTGCACCCATGATATATGCTGAGCGCCATTGAACCAAGCTGTAAACCCTGTATATGATGGAAACCACTTCAAGCCTATGCTTGCACCCAGATCTCTGAATTGGAACAACTGACCACAAATTGAAATAAAGAATGACACATAAATAATAAAGCAAAGACTTGCCCTAGAACAGAGTAACTGGTTGCCAGATTTCATTAATTATGGTGACATTTCCATTCTTTACAAGAGCCAAACAAACCCTCCTATTGCAATATTGTACAATAACAATCTCAGTACTGTAATGTCCCTGTTGTAAACTTTGGTGCACTGGACCATTACTATAGCAGTGTTTAATTACATACAGTCCCAGTCAGGATGTGGCAAGAAGAGGGTGAAATATTCATAATATAAAAACCACCAGCACAATCTCCTTTTGTTGTTTTCCTTTACATTGAAAAAAAGATGTCTCCTCCCAAATGAGACCTTGAATGCCAAGTTGCAGCCTGAAGCACATTTTTAAGGCTGAGTTATAAACCCCTGAAAAATGGGGTTTTGTAATGGAAATGGGTGACATGATAAATGCACGACTTTGTTCAGTTTCTTTACCCTCCTTCTGCTCCCCTTGCCACAAAAGGTGCTGTGCCAGCTCTTCTCTTTCTTATCTCCTCCTGCGATCCCCTGGATCATTGCAGGGTCAGAAAGAGGACATTTTTTATTGGTACTAATGAGGTAGAGCCAGATAAAGAAAATATTTCATATTGATTTATTGTGTTTTAAATTGAATTGATCGGCGCCATTTGTTTTTAGTCATTCGCTCTGAAGAGTTTCCCCTCCCTTCTAGCTCTCATGACCTGTGAACGGTCAGTATAGGTCTGAAGGAATGTAGCTGTCTGCTGCTAACCTATGCACTTGTGCTAATCCCCTTCTGGAAGCTTTCCTGTCGTGACTGGGTTGAGAGAGCGTGTGCACACTCTCTCTCTCTCTCTCTCTCTTACACTTTCCTTCACAGTTTTTATTCCCTGGGTTTCCATGGGAGTGGATGTTTCGGCTGCCCATGTTTCAGGGGAACCCAAGTTTACTCCTTGAGGTCGTGCTGAGGCATGTGTGGAGTGTTCATGTGCAGCCAATCCTTAGAGCAGAGGAGGAAGAGAGGGAAAGCCAGCGTCATACTCACCATAGTGGATCCATGCACCCAGTCTAGAAGAGCTGTGGCTCTGCTAACAGCTACCAAACCCTCCCTGTTTCTTCAGTGCAGAGCCTCCACTTAATACCAACCCTTGTCTATATGCCTCAGTCCTACCCACACCTCCATGATAAGTACTCCCTCCCCAGCCTGACCACCTGAGCAGTAAACATTACACACAAGCCTTGTCTGCATTTGGAAATAGTCTTGATTCAGCAGTTGATATGGTAGCACTGGTGCTTTCCACTCCACGCAGAGTAGTAGTAATAATAATAATAATAATAAATTAATACTTACCTCTTTAGAAATTTTAATCTGTCAATCTCAAAACCCTTTACAAACATGGTCAGTATCATTATCCCCATTTTAGAGATGAAGTTGCGGCACAGAGAGGGGAAGTGACTTGCCCAAGGTTACCCAGCAGGCCAGTGGCAGAGCTGGAAATAGAACCCAGAACCCCTTTGTGCTCTGTTCACTGGGCTACACTGTCCTGTAGACAAAGGCAAGCCAGGATTGTGGTTTTGCAATTATGCTTTATAGGCCCAGTTGGAACAAAACCCCTAAATGTCCTTGTCTACAAGTAAAGGGCAGCTATATAAATTCCTGAATCAGGGGCTATTCCTGAGTATTGATGAGGCCATACACTTCCTGTGATGAGTCTCTGAACCAGCCAACTCCCAACCTGACCAGTCCATCCATTTCCCCCATATATGCAAACTATTGAAGGCTGCCTGAGATCATGCTCAGCTGTTTCTAAACTGAATCCCACAACCTTAGCTCCACTCCGCTCCTCATAGAGTTTAAGGCTCTCTGAAAACTCAGGCAGATCCCTCTGCATTGGTTTACACCTGGGTCACATTTTCAAGGTTTTCTTCACAACCATAACAATTAGATGTCTTAAAAATTGAAAGTGGAGACTCTAGGGATCAATGGAGCCCTTTCTGCACTGCCATCTAGTCCTCCATACTCCTTTAAGTGGGCACACTCTACATTTTCAGAAAATAAAGTATTTAGTGCAGTAGTTCTGTGTCCACGTCCTTACAAACCCAGTATCTCTGTCCTTGTTTATTTGGTCTGTTGTTTGGATATGTTACCAAGGTATTGGGAGACAAGGTAGGTGAAGTAATACCTTTTATTGGACCAACTTCTATTGGTAAGAGAGACTAGCTTTCAAACTTACACAGAGCTCTTCTTCAGGTATTGGGAGTCATAAATACTTAGGATGTGGACAATCACACCATTTAATTTCATTATTCTTTCCTGGTTGATTCTTCATGAGTACTGAAGGAGCTGAAAAAGTGCTGATACCTTAACACTTAAAGTACTCTGTTTGGAAGATCCATTAACAAACATTTGTTGTTTGGATGACTCTACGACAAGGTGGTAATGAGATGAAAACTTTCACTTTTACCTCCCTAATTCAAATCCAGTCTAGGCTGTTAATGGTGAAAGAGTTAGAGCCATTTAAAAGCTTCCTATTCACGCGTGATGATGTGTGTTGGTGTCCTCAGTCCAGTTCTTGGTGGACAGGTGCCTACATAACCAACACTGTTGTAGCAATCGACACCCCTGTTGGCTATGCAGAGAAACCAAGAATTTGATTAGCCTTGTTGAGTGAGCTTAACCTGTCACCCTAGAGTTGTTCATTCCAGTTCAGGGATGAGGCACATCAGCAAGCAGGGCAATGGAGGTGCAGGAGAGTTGAATTCTTCTGCCCGTGCTGTACCTTTTCTGTAGATGAGTATAGGAATATAGTGTCCAGGCTTGTCACTGTGGCATCTATCACCAAACTCACTAGTAGTGAGTCACCCAACTCACTAGTAATGCCGCTAGTAATGCCGCTGCGTTGTAGCAGCAGAGAGCTCATCTGTATCAGTTTTCATCCCACTCCAGTACTTCCTCACTGCTCAAAAGCAAATTCTGAAATCCAAACTAACTTTTTCTCTGTTTTTTCTATCCCCTCCAAAGCTGTTCTTGCCCTCTAGGGTATGAGGGGGAGAGATGTGAAATAAACCCAGATGACTGTGAAGATAATGATTGTGAGAATAACTCCACGTGCATGGATGGAATCAACAACTATGTCTGTCTCTGCCCTCCTAATTACACAGGTAAGGAAGGACCACAGCCAAAGGGCATAGAGAACTGAGGGGAGCAGTTGAAGGAACTTCCAGCCACCTGGGGCACCATAAGAAACTGGTCCACTCCCACTTGGTTAAATCACATGCATGGAATTAACCAGGATTCTGAGTAGATTTTAAAGTATCCAAATTGTTGTCAGTGAATTCCTGCTCATCCAGTAAACAGAGGCAAGAAAAGGGGATAGTTTTGCAAAGATGCTGCTCCAGCAATATGTCTGACCTTTAATCCAGAGAGATCACTGCTACCCCTGAGAGAGTGTAATTCATACCAGAAGAAGGCTTTTGGGAAGGTTCAGAGGGGAAAATCTATTACTGTCTTGGCATATTTTGTACACATACCCTTCCCCAGGTCAGAAGTACTCATCGACTGGAACTACAGTTAAAATATATAAACAAGAAATTTGCAAGTTCATCTGTTGGTTAGAGAAATTTGTACTTTTCCACAAAAGTGTTCACAAAAGTGTTTCCAGTACTGATTTAGCTCGGTATACGTCTGCTTAGCATTTCTGAGAATAAAAGTGATTCCTGTTTCAAATTATACTATAATAGTAACACTTATAAAATAACTTCCATCTAAAGAACTCAAACACTGCACGTATTAATGAACCAATCATGACAATACCTCGGTTAAGTCACCTCCATTTTACAGACGGGGAACTAAGGCACAGAGGCTAAGTGATTTGGCCTCGGTCACAAAGTGAGTCAGTGAGAGAGCTGGAAATAGAACCCACATCTCCTGACTCTTTGTCCTGTGCTTTAGATGTCTTCCTTCCTAAATCTTCTGTAGGGTTAGGAACCCTCTTAGCTCAAAAATGTAAAAATGCTGCCTCTCAGATGACTGCGTAGATACTTCACTCATCACAAGCCACTCAAGCCTGATCTCCTCTGCTCAGTATACAGAGTAAGAAAATATCCATGTTAGTTCCTATTTTGATGCTTTGAAATAGGTTTGTTACTCTATGAGCATGGAGCACTGACGGGCTTCTCGTAGGCTAGAGGGTATTACATATCACTGGAATTAATAAGTATAAAGTTGGAGTGGCTTGGTAAGTGACAGGGAAGTCTTCTAGAATTTCCCAAACTCTTTTAAAATGCTTTTTATGGCCAATATGAGAGGCCTGTGTAAATCTTTGGCTGGGAAAAGCCTTATGACTTGAATGAAAATTTATTAGAGATTTTATCTACTCCTTCTGCCAAAGTACTCGGCAAAGCTTAGGCTGGCCCAGAGCAAAGAACTTTGTTTCTAGTATGTTGAGCCAATTGTTCTTACATATACTGTATGTATGTGAGCCTTACATTGCTGATATCAAATAGAACTCCTTATATGGTGATAACGGTTTTACGTTTACAAAAGGAAGTGTATTTGAGCAGCTAAGCAAGAGATCGCTAGCAAGGAACTGAATCCAGTGCACAATGGACTTGATCTGTCCTTTTTAACAGCCTCATGGTGGGCTATAATGGCTCTTGCAGAGAAAAACAGAGAAAAAGGGATGGAGTGGGATTTTTCTGCAGATAGTACCTGTCAGTGAATCATTTCTGGTCATGGCCAAAGAATTTTTATGACACTTCAGAGTCAGATTTTCAGATATTTTCAATCATAATCCAGCTCACTATTACCAGAATGAATGACTGAATATTGCCTTTTGTAAGCTGTTCATCACCTAGAATGTACCAGATCATCAAATTGCTATGCAGTTAAACTCTTTGGACCTGATTCTAGTTTCAGATGCATGATACACACTGCTGGATATAGAATACAATATCTGGGGCCTTCGAATATTAACCCTTTGTACAGCCAGTAACTATTTGATTGCAATTGAAACAAATTTGATTATAACTATAAACAATAAGGCTGAAAGTCTGGAGACCAGTAGTATGCATGGTTGTAGAGGTGTGATAGGACTTGCATACAATGAAAGGCTGAAAAAATCACTTGGAAAGGAGAAGAGTTAGAGGTACTTTGTGTTTTTTTAAAAATATGAAGGTCCTTGTGAAATGTGAGCTCAGGGTCACTTAAATTAACTGCAGGCTAATTTTAGTACAAACAAGATAATATTTATTCACACCTTGTAATCATTCTGATGAATTTGCTGCAGCAAAAAGTCTTAGGGTAAAATACTGGTATGCTAGGGATGCGTGAAAAGGAAACTGAACTCAGTACATGATGGATGTGCTCTTTCAAAACTGCTCAGGTCAAAAGGGATAACAATATTGTGGCTATATCTTTAAAAAAATGAGCAGGATAACCTAATAACTAATGACATGATTTTGCAAGCTAAAATAAGAGTAATGAAATATCATGCTTCAAAGAATAAGCTAACCACTGCGAGGTCAGAAAGGAATTTTCTCCCATATTCAGAATTCTCCAACGGGCTACATGCATTCCTGGCTTTTGCATTATGCCAGTCTCTCTTGGAAGTATCCAAGGTTTCCTTTATTTCCTCAGAATCGCCCTGCTTTGTTATCTTGTGTCTCTCATTTTACCATTATGCCCTTTTTGGGAAAAATATGCCAAGTATGAATCGTGCTTTCATTGGTTAAAATAATGAAGGCTGTAAATCTCTCTTCACTGAATAGTTTTCCAAATGTTTTCCTTTTCTAGCTGATCCTAGATGAAAAATATCCAATATGGTAAATGACTATAGTAGGGAGGAATTTACCACACCAGAGGTCCCATTTTGGTATTATTAAAAATATTCTTGACTCTCTCAGAGTTCCTTCCTTCCAGTGATTTCAAAGTGCTTTACAAACATGAATGAACTGAGCCTCACAGCCTTTCTTTGAAATAGGTAAGAATAATTTACAGACGTCTATACTGAGGCATGTGACTGGCTGAATGTGACAGAGAGAGTCAATGGCTGAAACAAAAGTAAAAGGTGTGAATCTCTTCACTCAACGCCTTAACCACAAGACCAGATAATGTTTTCCTTTTTATTCGTTAAGTTCAACACTTGCAAATCTGGGTGCCTAAATTTAAGCAGTTAAAGCCATATTTAGGCTCTGTGACACAGTGTCCTTAACTCCCCCTGCCACAGTTTTCCTCTCACTGGAGGGGTAGTTTAGCCCTGCAGCTAAACAAAACACTTTACTTCCTCCAGGATAGACAGTTCAGAAGAAGTCTAAGGTTAACAATGGGCCAGAAACTAGTTGAACAGTTTGTTGGAGCCCTCTGTGGCCACAGCCCTCTCTTGATGGTCTCAGCAATCTTTCCTCTTGATTCAGGGAAATGCGGGTGAACTCCTAGCCATGGACTTCAAAACAGGAACCTACCACTTGGTTCCTATCTCAAGCTTTCTGATCTTTCTTTGTTTATGGCCTCTTCCCTCACTCTGCTGGTGTCTTACCTTCCTTCCTGGGACTCGGCTATATCTGGCTTTCTTGCTTAAAACCATCCCCCTCCAGGTACCCCAGCTCTGTCTGCCCCAAGAGTCTCTAACAAAGCCCACAGAATTTCCCTTTCCCTAGAGTTCTTTATCTAGCTGTCCATCTGCCTCCAAGACTTCTTTTTGACTTGTTCTAGTGTGGGTTGTGGGGACGCGGGTTGAGAGAAAGAGACACCCAGAGCTTGTTCTTACCCAGGACACCCTCTCTAGGGTGACCAGACAGCAAGTGTGAAAAATCGGGACGGGATGGGGGGGTAATAGGATCCTATATAAGAAAAAGACCCAAAAATCGGGACTGTCCCTATAAAATCGGGACATCTGGTCACCCTAACCCCCTCATCAGTCTTGCATGTACTGTCTTACTGTTTTAATGGTGGTATCCAAACACTGTCATTTCTGTGGGATTGGCAGCTCAAACAATCATCCATGAACTTATGTGAACCTTTGGCCAGAATCTGACTAGTCCCAAACCTGAGCTGGTCTTTGAAGTTTTTGAAACATTTTAGTTAAACTTTTGTGTCTTTCTTTTAATTTCACGCACCCCTGCACTCTGTGTCCTTACTCAGAAGCAGAAATGAGTAGATGCCACAAGGAATTTGGGAAACACTAGAAATTTCTTTAAAGAGCCTGATCTAGTGAGTCTCAGCAAATGTATTCAGCCCGCTTTGGTCTGGAAATTGGGATCAGGTTTGGAAACAATTTCAAAAAATTACCCATATTAAATTAAATGGCCTCTTTCTAAAACAGTTGGCATCCCGGGAAGGAGGGGGGAGGGGGCTGTAAGATTATTATCTTGGAAACCCAAATGTTTTTAAATAGTTTATTTCCTTGTGAAAGATTTGTCGCCATTAACTTGTATCACAGAAAAATGAGTAGAAACCATTTCTGGTGTTGCATGTTAGCAAGATGAGCCTAATGCATTTTTACCTCAGGGGACTTTGCAGTCTCTTGGCTTCAATGTTGCTGTCACAGATTTTTTTGTTGTTCTTTCCCTTTTCAACTCAACACTATTCATTGTTTGTGAGTAATTACAGCTCCTCCTTCTGGCCCAGCTTACTGCAGTGCTATTGCCTGTCCAAAGCCAAGCACTTAAGTAAACAACATTACTCTGGAGGAAAGATGCCTTGTGGTGACTTGTGGTTGCCACTAGTTTATGGAGCTTCACTAGCTTGCTTCACATAACTAACCATTGTGGTGAGATGGCTCAGAACAATCTCAGTAAGGGGCCCCAATTGCAGTGCTGAGTTGAACTTATCTGAATCATAGCTCTTTAGATTGGTTTGCATGTTTTTAGATCATGTGTCACACATACAAGCTGGAAGTTTTCTGACAGTGTGGTTTCAAGTATTTCTTCTGTAAGTTCACCAAGGATTTGAGCTATTATATGTCTATCTAAGGCCTAAACAAGTTCCTGACTATTAGCCGGTTTCAGAACTATGAGACCGTCCTTAGCCATAATTTGCTTGAAAGACAAAGCAAGTAAAGATTAGGGTTTGGTGCACCCATCCTTTCATCCAAGAGATTCTTGCTCTGGGTGGAAGTTTTCCAGTTTATTTACTTGGCAAATGTGAAATTTGTTTGTTTTCT